TCCAGATAATCAGCCTTTCTTTGATATTTTTGATGCTGTAAAGTTGTATCATAGAAGTACAGAATGATTTTGGAAAATAATCATCCCACAGAAGTCAACAACACTTCATATGAGTTGCACATGTTGGAGATTCTCACCATGTTCCAGCAACTGTTTGAATTTAACCTATATCTTGTGAACATGCAGTTGATGTACTACTAAAAAGCCACAGAAACATTTTGTGTACCTTTATAATAGAAATTCATGTCAAGAAACTTGCAATGCCATTCATAATTAACCCATTCACGCCGGGTGTCACGTACACGTGACAGGCCCACTGTGAGTTTACTTGTTTAATTGTTTTCACACATAGATGGCTACACTTGTACTTGTACTGTCTATCTCGCCTGTTTACCCTTTTCTTTAATTTACGAAAATATCTTATGTTATCTTATTTTGCTGTTACTGATGTTTATAACATTATAGTAATTATAATGTTTATAATAAAAATAAGCATTGATATTCATAGCACTAGTAAAAATACATTTTCCCACCAATTCAAGTAAAGGTGAAATCAGGTAAGGCAGAGCCATCTAGTGTAGAGACATTTCACAAAAAAATATAAAAAATGAGCACAGCTTTTTCCCCATTTTTTGTTCATTTTTACCCACTGCGAATGGGTTAATGAAATTATAAATCCCTCTCTGAGACTACATGAAATATATCTGAGAAATTTTGTGCTTGGATTGGCTTGCAGGATTTATCAAACTGTATCAAGGTAGAGGCATACACTTTGATACAAACTGTAAAGGTGTTTCAACAATAATTTGGGTGTAAAGGGCAGTGTTTGGGGCTTTGGAAATGCTACAAAATGGGCCTTTAATGAGCCATTGCCGAATGACATTTAAGAAAATGTATTTTTTTTGTTATTTGCTTGGTTGTATGTATGATTTATATATATATAGATAGATAGATAGATAGATAGATAGATAGATATAGATATAGATATAGATAGATATAGATATAGATATAGATATAGATATAGATATAGATATAGATATAGATATAGATATAGATATAGATATATATCTATCTATCTACCTATCTATCTATCTATATATCTATATAGAGATATATGTATATATAGATGGGTAGATATATATATAGATATATAGATATAGACATAAATAGACATAAATAGACATAAATAGACATAAATAGACATAAATAGACATATAGACATATAGACATATAGACATATAGACATATAGACATATAGACATATATATATATATATATATATATATATATATATATATATATATATATATATGAATATATATATATATATATATGTAGATATATATAGATATATATTTATATCTATATATATATATCTATATATAGATATATGTATATCTATCTATATAAATATAGATAGATAGATAGATATATAGATATAGATAGATAGATATATAGATAGATAGATATATAGATATAGATAGATAGATATATAGATATAGATAGATAGATATATAGATATAGATAGATAGATATATAGATATAGATAGATAGATATATAGATATAGATAGATAGATATATAGAAATATATAGATATATCTATCTGTCTATCTATCTATCTATCTATCTATCTATCTATCTATATATATCCTAATGCCGACGGGTATGACGTGTACGTACGTGCTATGCCCACCGTGAATACTTGTTTGATTGTTTTTACACATAGATTGCAATACTTGTACTAAATCACCAATGAGCCAGTTACGAGTACTGCGCGTCTCGCCCGTTTACCCTTTTCTTTGATTTACAAAATATTTTATGTTATCTTATTTTGCTGTTACTAATGTTCAAAAACATTATAATAATTATAATGTTTATGATAAAAATAACATCATCGATTTTCATAGCACTGGTGAAAAATATGTTTTTCCCGCCATTTCAAATCAGGCGCTAGCAGAGCCATCTATGGGCAGACATTTCACGAAAAACACAGAAAGTGGGCACAGCACTTTCCCCATTTTTTGTTAATTTTCCCCAGCGGCATTGGGATATCGATATATATATCTATATATATAAATATTTATATACATATTTATGTACATATTTATGTACATATTTATGTACATATTTATGTACATATTTATGTACATATTTATGTACATATTTATGTACATATTTATGTACATTTTTATGTACATATTTATGTACATTTTTATGTACATATTTATGTACATTTTTATGTACATTTTTATGTACATTTTTATGTACATTTTTATGTACATTTTTATGTACATTTTTATGTACATTTTTATGTACATTTTATGTACATTTTAGGGACATGGGAGGGAGAGTAAGATGAGAGAGAGAGATAGAGGATATAGAGAGGAGAGATAGATAGAATGGAGAGAGAGAGAGTAAAGATATAGAGGAGAGAGAGAGAGAGAGAGACACAGAGATTAGAGACAAGAGAGAGACAGAAGAGACAGATATAGAAACAGA